CGGCCGCCGCCGATCACAGCGATCACGGCTGTTGAGCCAACTATCTCAGACTCGATCCCGGAGCGATCACAACGGCAAAGTGGTTCACCCACCCGCCCGCACGCGCACGCTGAAAGCGCAAGTTGATCCATTCGCACGAAGCACCGCTCCACCGCCGATCTCCACCTAGTCTCTTCTGTATCGGCAGGTTTATCATGCTCAGGCGCTCTCATTAGCTCTTCTGAAAGAAGAGAGTGCATCCTCTCCTTGCACAGAGCCGAAACCTGCATTTAAGAGAATAGAACCAAACAATCTATGCTGGGAATAAGACTATGGGCACCGCATAGGAGTAAAAGGACAACTGTTGAAAAGCAATGATCGATTGATACCAATGTTACTTTCTGAAAACAGCAGCAGGTGATCGTAAGCCACGAGAATTATCGTACGAAATGCAGCCTTAATGACCGCTCAAATTTGAAATGACAAAAAACCCGAGGGGCAAACACTAGGTATAAAATTGATCGAAATGCAAAATATAGAATAGAAAAAACATGGCGATCATTTCTGTCTTGTTTTTTCCTTAAATTGTAAATATTGTTTCCAGTACCATCTTCATAAGCCCTGAGGGCGAAGCTGGGCTGCTTTTGAATAAAATGTAGAAAACAAATTAAGCAAAATTTTAACTCCAGAAATACGACAGTAGAATCAGTTTAGAAATAAGTAAGAGTGCCAGTCGCAGATGCTGAGAGGAAAAGAAGGTTGGAGCAGAGATTACATGCGAGCCGCCATGACCATCGAAGACACCGAAAAAATGTAGGGGAAAGCTGCCGTCCAGGAACTGGAAGAATCCTGGGCGGACAGAAACAGCGTCCTCCATTTCCCGCGCACGACCAGTTAGTGAAACAGAACCGAAGGCAATAGGGGTATTCATTTCCAGCTTCCGGCCGGAAGATGACCCGACAACTGGCGATTCAACGTCATCCACGGAAGAAGATGCAGAGAACTGGGATGACTCAACGAAGGAAAAACCCGTAGGCGCCCGGGAGTGCGAGTTTGTGTTCGCGGTCGGGCTTCTCTTTTCAACACCTGAAACATCCATTTCATTAGTGTATAACCTCTTTCCCGCCCGATGGGGGCTCGCCACTGACTGCGAAGCCTCGCCAGCAAAGTTCACATTCCTTCTTATCTCGATCCTCCGGCGTCGAGCGTGCCGGCATTTATTATCGGATTCGTCTTCGCCGGACATGTCTACGTACAAATCAACCATGAAAACCGGTGAGCGACCAGATTCAAAACTTCTATCGAAGATGGAGGATCCCTATTCCTTTCGTTCTCGACCATCATCTCCAGCAAGGTTTTACAGAACAAGTCGCCGGAATACCGCTACGGGTTTAAACCACCGAATTTTCAGGGAGAAGAAGAAGAATATATTAGCATCTAGGGGAAAGAGAAAGGAACGCAGTCGTCGTTGGCCATCTTATTTATTCGCCAAATACCACGGTCAGTTCACGGGGCTGCCCGAACTACCCGTTGCCATCCGATACGTGGTTGTCGATCGACACGTACACGAGTGGCGATGTGCGTTGCTTCCTTTATTGTATTATATCGGCAAGATTTTATCATTTTTAATGCCATTTACGATATTAAATCATTCATATTAAATTTATTTTTTTAATGTTTAAAAAAAAATTTACTGTTGGGCTGAGGATCTATGAATCTATCTACGTCCCTAATTTATAATAATAATAATAAATTAATTTTTTGTGAGAAAAAGTGAGGAACTAATATTAACATAAAAAAATATATAAAAATATAGATACAAGAAAATAAACAAAATTATATGAAAAGAGAGGAAAACAAACAAAAACAATGACTACGAACTAGTAAACATCTAAAGTCCCAACATCTTCAAAGTAGACATTCATTAAATCAAAAGGGAATGAATAATTTGAAAATCCAATCCTCATGCTCAAAAAA